GGTGCCAGGGCCGCTCCTCCCAGGACCCGGGCCAGAGGGAACGCCGCGAGGCTGGGAGCCGCGCTGTGCCCCGGCCACAGGCCGCTCGCGGACAGCCCGTCGTTCCGCTAAACCCAAACCAGCCGTTAACGTCCCCACCCGGAGCCGAGCCGCTGGCGCCGTTGGGCCGAACGAGGGACTCCGCGCTCCTCCCCTTCAGTCCCCCCGCCGCAGGAGCGGAACGGGCGGCCTCGCCTGCCCCTCCGGAGGCAGCAGGAGGAGGGAGCGGGGCGGCGCCGGGCCCGGCTCCTCCCAGTGGCGGGAGAGGGGGAGCGGAGGCGCACACGGGCAGGATTAGCTCATCTCGGCGGCGGCGGTGTAGCGACAGCCTCCCCCTGCTCCGGGCGCCCTCTCCTCGTCCCCGGCCGTGCGGCGCGGCGGCCCGTCCCCAGCCGGCTCCATGGCTGTGTGCAATGGAGACGCCAAGGTCAGTGCCGCGGCGGGAGCCCCGGAGCGAGCGAGCGCGCTGCCCCCTTCCCCCGGCAGCCCGGGCCGCGCGGCCGCTCGCCCCAGGACACTCCCCGCGCCGGGCCTGCCAGCCTCCTCCCGGGCGCTTTGTGCGCTCGGTTGGTGGGAGCCGGGACCCCGCGCCCAGGCCCTTCCTCGGGTTCCCTCCTTCCCCTCTCCCGCCCAGGATCGCCGGCGGCGAGACCGCCCCCTGCGCGCGGAGCTCGCTGCCGCCCTGATGTGAGTCTCCGGCCGGACTCCCTGCAGCGGGAGGAAGCGCCGCCCGGGGCACATGTTACAGGCAGCGGGGGAGGGGGCATCGTGCCTGGCGCTCGCAACCTCAGCGCAGGCAGCGGCACCGCTGGGGGAAGGGGGGCAGCGGAGGGGACATTTGGCTGTGGCCTCCCTGTACAGCGCCCATGTGCTCCCCCGGCCGGGGCTTTGCATTATCGCTACTGCCGCTTGCCCCCTCACAGGTGCCCCATGAGGGCGGTGGTAAAGGGGAGAAGGAGAAACACTGGCGCCTCTGTTGTGTTAGCTGCAGGTTGGGGGCAGCCGCGCAAGTGGCCAGCCGTTGAGCCTTTCCCCTGTCCAGACCAGGGATTTGGGGTGAGACCAGTAAAGGTGCCAGCTGCACACCCACACACCGCCTGAGTGTGGTGGAGTCTGGGTGCCCCACTCAGTGGATGGGGGGGAACAGCACACTTTCCCCGTATTGCTGGCTTGAGCATGGGTCCCCATTGCTGCATAGGGCATGGCACCCAAGAGTCCTGGTCTTTTCCTTTCTCCATCCTTCCATGGGGAAAAGAGCACAGGTTTCGCCATCTCCAACCTTTCCACTATCAATAGCTTTGTACAAGGGATAATCCCATAGTGGGGACAAAATAGTCTTTTCTCAGTTTTCTGAGCCCAAAGCTGCTGTTCCCTTTGCACAGCAAGAAGACTGAATAATACTCCTCCCAGCTCCTGGAGGAAGGGTACCCCTTGCTCTCCTAGTTTTTGTAGGTGGTGCCCAACCTAAATTTGCAGTGAAGTTATGCTTTAGTCAGGCACAGGTAGTTGGATTTGGGGTAGGAGTATCTATGGTGGTTGCAGTTTAGTGGCATGTGGGAGGCCAGATTAAATGCTTGGATCCTTCTGGCCTTTAACTCTACGAATCTATGAAATAAAGCAGAAAACATTGAATGTAATGGATGGTATGTGATCCATGGGGCTTAATGGGGAGGGGAAGTGTCTGGTATTTCGTAGCCCATGATCTTTATGAAGGAATTGGGAATTAATTATCAGATCTTATGAACCCGCTGTACAGTACTGCCGCAAACCTCTGCATGTAAAGAGCTGCATGTGCCTGGCTCCTCTGCTGTGTCTATTACTCATAGGCCTTGAGGATGTATAGGGCAGGAGATTCACAATGACTTCATTATAGCTCAGTTCCAATTCAGAGGAGCTTTACTTCAATTTACCTTTTTTATTTTTAACTAGCTTATTTTTAAACTCCTTCAACTAGCTTACTAGTTTCCCCCAAGTGTTTTAGAGCTATCACAAGCACTATATAATTAAAGTTCCCTTATTTCTTCTTTTTGATCCTTTAATTTTATTTTGTCTTAACTAGAAAACAAGACAGTTCTGTTAATAATATCTTTTATTTATATAGTGACTTTTATCCTGAAGAATCCCATAATGCTTTTAAAAATGTTGGTTCCAGCCCTGCAACCAGATCCATGTGAGAGATGCCTGTGCAGGCCCTGTTGAGTTCTTTGGAGATCAGGGCTTATGTATTTGCAGTAATGGGGTGGGAGTGTGAGTCTCATGATTGGAATACCTTTTCTAATGATTCAGGACCACACTTTGGCAATAAATAATATTCAGCTTAGCGTACTACAGACAGTAATTCATGAACACAAGTAATGTACATAAGAGAGCTGAAGTCAAAATGCATATTACTTGGTTTTAACTCTACCGATGGATTCACATTTATATACTTAAGTTTTATGGGTATAACTATATTTGTTAGGGTGTGAGTTTTCTCCTGACACCAAGGTACTTTATACTGGGATATCTTATTTTAGTTGCCAAACCAAAATAAGCTATGGTTAAACGGTTGCATCCGAAGAAGTGAGGTTTTTACTCACAAAAGCTTATGCCCAAATAAATCTGTTAGTCTTTAAGGTGCCACCAGACTCCTTGTTGTTTCTATGGTATAACTGTGTCCATACTAGGTTTGAGTATTTTTGCCACTTTATACCAGTGTAGAAAAAGCAGCAAAAGTTTCTGCTGTAGACAGCCCCAAAGGGCATTGCCGGGCTCCACTCCCAAGCACATTCCTCTATTCCCCGCTAGGGGTCACACCCCATTTTTTTTTGGCAAAACTGGCCATTTGTCCAGTTTGCTCTTGCTGGCTGATGATTATTTGGCAAGAGCAAATGGGACAAATGCCCAGTTTTGCCAAAGAGATTGGGACGGCCAGGACAGGGCTTAAAAAAGGGACTGTCCCAGCCAAAACGGGACATCTGGTCACCCTATGCAAGGCCCACCTTTTAACTCTTGTTTATGAGGAAATGACTATAGCATAGGATTAGGTAACGGTGGCCTGGGTCTGGGGAGGTAAGTGTGGGGTTGATTAATTTGTTGTATTAATGTTGTTGCTGGGTTATTTGATTTGATCTGGGGTAACTGACAGGTCTGTTTAGTTTATGTATATTTTAAAAAGATTTTAAACGGTGACAAAAACATTGGATAGGTGCTCTTCTATTGTACTTTGTAAAAATCCAAGTACATTTTTTTATAGCTTTCTTAACCAAAATAAAGCCTACACTAGCTTGAAAAGATCATCCAAAACTCAGTTTTGGCTTGTTTAAGCCCCTGATTTCAACGGGAGCTGTGGGTGTTAGCACCTGTGATTAGTCAGGCAACTTATTTATGCACCTGAATACAAATTCAAGTGCCAAAGTTAGGCATTCAAGTATGAATTCTTTGGTCTGAGCTACTCAGAAAACCAGATTTGCTGCTGAGTACTGCACAAACTTAAAACTGGGTTAATAGAAGTCTTGCAATATACTGTGTATATATAAAATGTCTCTGCAACATTACACACTTTTAACACTGTGTTGGGGTGTTTGTGTGTGTGCGTATATATATTTATGGTTTTAGAACAGTATTCAGAAATTAAGAGAAGTTGATGAGCAAGACATTTGTAGTTGATCTGTATATATATTTATGTACTTAAGTAGCAATTCATGTTTTCTGCAAGGCTTGTTTAATTAATATTGTGGTCAATTTTTAAAAATGTAATAGAACAAAGAATGTTTCAGGACTGCCAAGAGAGAGTTAATATAAGGCAGTTTGGATAGAGGGATCACACTTCACAGGGCTCTAACTGGTGATAATGTAACTTCAATATATTGATTTTAAATTTCAACTTTTGAATGTCTTAGGATACAGAATTCTTAGATTTTTGAATGTGAAACTGCCAGCAAATTCAAGTCATAAGATGACTATTTTGTAGTAGTACAATGGGCTTATTTGGCTGATAGTCACAGATAACTGGACATTTTTCACATATGACATGATATTTAATGTGAACTCTTGTGACTTAAATTAGTTGAATAGAAATATTTAATGTCCCAAGAGAGATGAAAAGGCCTTGCTGTATTTTTGCTCTGTACTACCTCTTCACCCTCCCCATGCTTTTCTGGTCTGAGTACAAGTTACAACACTTTCTGTTGTTTTATTAACTAAAGCTTCCTTTATCCAATTTGTATTTGAGAGCTCTTATTTTTTAGCCAAGCTGTAAATCAATGAATAAGATATTGTCCTAAATGAAACACACATGCAGGCCCATTGCTGTCATGGTGCCATATTTAGCGTTAATATGTGAGTTAGACTAACTTAGATTTGCACCCCATTAGACCCAGCGTACAGTTGCTTAATGAATTCAGAATTACCTGTCAAAGGCCTAAAGCTGCTTTTCTATTTTTTGCCTATATATTAAATGGAAATACTACAGGAACATATTTAAGAATGTAGGTTTTAAAGAAACATTACTAAGGGCACAAGAGCAAAAGGGGGGGGAGGGATAGCTCAGTGGTTTGAGCAGTGGCCTGTTAAACCCAGGGTTGTGAGTTCAATCCTTGAGGGGGCTACTTAGGGATCTGGGGCAAAATCAGTACTTGGGCCTGCTAGTGAAGGCGGGGGCTGGACTCAATGACCTTTCAAGGTCCCTTCCAGTTCTATGAGATGGGATGATAATAATAATATATGGAGATATACCTAACACATGGAAAAAATAGGAAGTATGGTAAGAGACCACTGTCTTAATCAGGAGATCGTCAATAACCTGAAACTCAAAAAGAGTCATACAAAAAGTGGAAAATAAGTCACATGACAAAGGATGAATATTGAAAAAAAACAGAAGCATGTAGGGACAGAATTGAAAAGGCCAAGGCAAAAAATGGGATTAAACTAGCTAGGAACATATAGAGTAACAAGAAAACATCTTATAAATACATTCAAAGTAAGAGGAACACCAAGGACAGGGTAGGCCCATTATTCAATGAGGAGGGAAAGACAATAACAGAAAACGCAGCAATGGCCAGTGTTAAAATGCCTTTTTTGTTTCAGTTTTCACAAAAAAAGTTAGCAGTGATTGGATGACTAACATAGTGAACATCAGTGTAAATGGTGCAGGATCTAAGGCTAAAATAGGGAAAGAACAAATTAAGAATTACTTAGTCAAGTTAGATGTCTTCAAGTCAGCAGGGCCTGATAAATACATCCTAGAATATTTAAGGAACTGGCTGAAGAGATCTCCAAGCCATTAGCAATTATCTTTGAGAACTCATGGAGTGTAGGAGAGATCTATCTTCTTGTAGCAACAGCTGTTGTCTTCAACACTTTCTCTTGCACTATATGTTGGTGTTTGAACTCTTAATAATCTACTTCTCTTGTAATTTGTGTGTCCTGTCAAAAGAAGTTAAAATAGTACTGGTGTTTAAATTGAGGATTTAGGAGGGTAATTGTCAGAGTTGGCAGAATCTGACCTTATTCTGAATTTGGTAGTTATTGTTAAAGGATTAATTAAATGTGGGGCCACCAGCTCTTACCAATTAGCTCTTCATTAACCTCAGAATGAAGAGTTGATTCTCTGATTCTTTTAAGAGACTACAGTAGCATTTTTCAAGAGTGGCCATATTAGACTTTTTCTTTCTACCTCATTACTGCTAGATTATTAATGAGCTAACACAAAGAATAGGGGAATGTTTTCAAAAACCCCAAAATAAAACCTACTTTTTCATTAATCAATTTAACAAACCCACAGTTTTAAGTTATAAACACAATAAAGAAAGGAAATTCTGTTGTGTGTGTGTGTGTGTATATATATATATATGTGTGTGTGTATGTGTAGTGGACCCTCATTCTCCCTCTTGGAGGGAGGCCACTTGTTCAGGTTGCCTTTGGGCTTGTATGGCCAAGGCACGAAGCTGCAGAACAGTCTAGGGCCCTTGTCTCCACCCGAGGTGGAGCAAGGCCCCCCAGGTCCTCTAGTTCCTCAAGCTGCCAGCAGTTAAACACCAGCTAGAAGGGGGTTGGCTTCAGCCAGAGCGGGGCTGTGGCTGCCAGCAAGGCGATCACAGTCTATGTAGCTGGTTTGGGAATGGGCTTAAGGAGGCTCAGGCTGCCAGTAAACAAACAGTCTCAAGGCTGGCTTTAGCCTGGGCGGGGCTCAGGCAGCCAGCAAGGCAACAGTCTATAAGGGAGCTGGTAAGAGAGGCTCCTTCTTCAGAGCGGGAGCTTCCCTGCACAGTGTAGGGAGTCAGCCACACCAGGGTGGAGTAGCAGGGGGACTCAGGTTCACCCTACTCCATCGCATCCCAGCCCAGGGTCTTGGCAGAGGCAGGATTGGCTGCCCCTGCGTCAGCGGGGATCCAGCCACAACACGCCGTCTGAGCCACACCTGACTCCGCAGCTGGCTGCTCCATGGCTGCCCCTGGGCCACTTCCTTCCTCCCCAGGGTTTGGTACCTCTCACTTCCAGGGATCATCAGGCTCCTTCGGGTACTCTGCAGCCGGTAGTCTGGGCCACTCCTTGTCGGGGTCTCCCACTTCTGCAGCTATCGGACAGCCAGGGGTAGGTTCTCCTCCTGAGTACAGCAGGAGCATCCTTCTCTTCTGGGGATTCCACCCCAATGGGGCTGTAGGGCCTTCCTCTTATACTTCTGGCCCTGCCCAGGCACTTCTGGTGAGGGGGGCGGAGCAGGCTAGGCTCCGCCCACCAAGGGGAGTGTAGTGGACCCTTGCTCTCCCTCTTGGAGGGAGGCCACTCGGCCTCACTACAGTATGTACACACAATGTAACTTTAGTTATCTGGCCCAAGACTAAGAAACCATCTTACTAACTGCTTCTTATCAGAGATGCAGTTACCACTCTAATTCCACTGGTGTTCTTATTAATGAGAGAAATTAAGTGACAGACTCCAACCGTGAAACAGGCTATAGAAAGTCTTAGCTTTTTTCTTTTCCTTACTCTCTTTACAGGGGGATTCAAGCAACCACCAGCAAAGTTTACAGCTCTAGATTCTTGAGCCATGGTCACCTTACAACCTTCCTGTGCATCTTCCGCTCTTAACTAATTCAGGGCTAGCTAGATTACAAGTAAAGGATGCTTCAGTGTTTATCTCAATTGTCTTTGGAATGTTGTGTTGCCATAGAAGTTGAAGAACACTCTTGCTTCACTGTAGCAATACAAGGAAAATACAGTAGATAGAATCTTCACTCATGGGGAATCCATCCCAAGTGGGACCTGAAGGAGAGGAACTTTTGATACCCAAAGTTGGAGCACTGTTTGAAGAGCTGAAGGGCAAACTCCCTTATTTGGAGGCTGCTGATGTCTGAAAGAGGACATAGTATTTTTACCTTCTCTGTGTTTGGTCCCTTTCGTCTCTGTGAGGTTTGTTGCAGGCCATTGAAACAAAGTAGCTTAGTTCCCTTGCTCTTGACAAGCCACTTCTGCTTAATTATCAGTAAAAGTTATATCAGTAATAAATACATAGTATTGGTAATACATGTTTGATATACAGAGCATCCAACCATTATAAGGGAAAGGTCACTGCACTACAGTTAAATAATCCTGGATTGCAGTGGTCCTAATACGCAAAGTACAGTAGAACCTCGGAGTTACAAACACCTTGGGAATGGCGGTTGTTCATAACGCTGAAATGTTCGTAACTATAAACAAAACTTTATAGTGGTTCTTTCAAAAGTTTACAGCTGAACATTGACTTAGTACAGCTTTGAAATTTTATTATGCAGAAGAAAAATGCTGCTTTTAACCATCTTAATTTAAATGAAACAAGCACAGAAACACTTTCCTTACCTTGTCAAATCTTTTTAGAACTTTCCCTTTATTTTTTTTTAGTAGTTTAAGTTTAACACAACACAATACTGTACTGTACAGTATTTGCTTTTTTTGGTCTCTGCTGCCTGAGGTGTTTGTTGACGGGCCAATTCGTAACTCTGGTGTTCGTAAGTCTGAGCTTCTATTGTATTTTTCTCTTAGAATGATTCTGCAGCTACTATTTATGTAATTGGTTCATCTTATAATTACTTTACAATTGTATGGCACTTACATGAAAACATAAAATGTTAAGGAGGGTTGCTGTCTGTGTCTGCCTGAATAATACACTGAAAGGCTTCAGTTCTTCCTTCTCCCAATCTAAAATCAACAAGGAACAGGTTTCTTAAGCTACATGTAATTAAAAATCGTCCCCTCCCCGCCCCCCCCCCCCCAAAAAAAAACCCTTACCCCTGAAACAAAACTGTTCGGAAAGTTGCATCAAAATGGCAACTTTGGAATTGTGACTTCTGGCAAGCTTAGTAGATAGATCAGACTGAATAAGCATAGAATGTGAACTACACTTTTCACCTTCTATAGGTGGTCACTTCTAGTCAGAGTTGAGAATACGTAATGGGATAGTATGGGAAAACTTGTATTGCCACTGACTTTGAGGTATCCTTTGTCTCTAGGTTCTGTCAGTTCAGTACCTCTTTAATAGGGCTCAATTCATGCACTTTTAAAATGACCATATTCTGTTTTAGGCTTTTTATGAAACACAATTTTTATGTTCTCTGAAATTCCACTGCTCCAAAAGCTGGAATGATGGTATTGGTGGGTGGGTCCTGTGCACCACTTTTATAAGTGGAAAGATGTGGTAGAAGTATTCTTTCTTCCCCAGGGTTTGGCCTGGTGAGTGAGCAGATGTGGGTGGGGAGAAAATGGCTTCACCCTATATTAATCATTGATAAAATTGTCATCCATGCAAATGGCACGCATGGGTTGCCATGTGGTGTTAAGGTTGCCTATATCCTGCTATTTCATGTATTGCTGTATATAGTCTATAATAAGGCTTTTTCATTAACATGTTTTTCCTTTTTAATGCAATGTAAATGTTACACTTTACATTTTAAAGAATTCCTTTAAAGAACTTTCCACACCCGGGGACTGAATTTATGCCCTTAATAATTAACTTTCCAATCAGTGTTCTTTTTGAAGAGACTTGCTTTGATTTGTTGTCCTGACTGTTTTGATAAAGTGCTTATTTCAATAATGTTTGCAGCTGGAGAATGCTGGAGATCTCCAGGATGGCCAATATCACTATGACGGGGCAGTGGTAATACTCGATGCTGGAGCTCAGTATGGAAAAGTCATAGATCGTCGAGTACGAGAATTGTTTGTCCAATCTGAGATCTTTCCTTTGGAGACTCCAGCCTTTGCAATCAAGGAGCAAGGATTCCGGTAGGCTCTTTTTTTTTTTATAATTTAAATGCAAAGGATCTCAGCAACAAAATTAGTTTATTCATTGTGGTGATAATACTGCTTATGTTATCTTTAGTTTAACAGGAACACATGAGTTTCATTGGGGAAAACTAGCGCAAGGACTTGCCTAGTGCTTTCATATACTACATATTCTGACATTTGGTTTAATTTTGTTAAAAAATGTTGATTTCCTAAGGTCATTTTCTGTTATGTAAGTCTTTTGAGGGGGTAACTTTTTTGTATGTAAAATATTTGTGATAAGTCTAATATTAACCTTTGGATAGCCATTCAACAGGAAAATACATTTGGCTTTTTTTATTAATACTTGTAATAGTAAATAAGAAATCTTGCATCATTCCTTTTACAGAAAATTACATATCACTTAAAATATTTGTAGTTTCATCAAAGAATTATATAAATGGGAATTGGTATGCTATATCATGCCAGACTCTTTCTGGGAGGCGAGTAGAATATTATCTGATAGTGCTTATTTAATTTTTTTTTTTGCCAATTTGCTTAATGCTGTACACATTTGTTTTAGCTTTTTAAAAAAAGAGCTTACAGATGTATATCCCTTTCTCTTAAGGAAAAAATTGCTATCCCCGTCTTACAGATTTATACAAATCACTTGAGTATCTAGTATTGTGGTACCATAAAGCCAGTCCAGTAAAAATCCCAAGAATGCAGCACACACACATCACATTACTGTACTGGAAGTAGTACACAACAGAAATTGCTTCGTTGAATTGTTTTTCTCTAGCCAATGATTGTTGTTGCTCTAATAGAATGCCAGTATAACTTAATGAGTCTGTAAAAATCTGAATTCACTACATTTCTTTAGAAAACACAGATGGCATACTATAGTAGACATAACTGCACTATTGCATATCTAATATAGAAGATTCACCCTGTGTACTCAACTCTTTCCCTTTTAGAATTGCAGCTGGAAAATACTTGTAAGTGCAGTATCTTGTTTTAAGACCCCTTTTTATTCATTAAATTAACTTAAAGAAAATGTTATATTGTTTCCAGTGTGGTATCTTAAAACTGACTATCTAGGGTCTCAGTCCAACATTGAACTGTGTGAGCAGTCCCTGGGGTGCACAGGTATTGTGTTTCTTATCTTAAAGAAAGAGGATCTCCTTCCAACATACAACCTGAAGTCTCTTCAGAACCTCTGTCATGAGATACAATAGTTGTGTTGTCAGCTACTAGGTTTGTGGCACTGCAAATAATTACTTTTTAAAACTTGGCCAAATACTTTCATTCAAAGGGTCACTGTTCCAAGGCTGAGGAAGATCTACAATGATGTCAGGGTTATTGGTTGTTTCGGGTAACTGGTAACAGGATACAAAGCTTTCTACCTCTACAGACATTCATTTAAATCTGGATCATGTTAGTGATGATTGAAAGTAGTCACTTGAGGCTTTCTAATGATATTTGTTAAATTAGTTGGTGGTTTCACTCTAGTTCCTAGATGACCGAGTGTCAATTGTGGTAGAAATAATCTGGCTTCCATGCTGACATTCTCTGGACTGAATGGTCATAGAAGTTGTGCTGTGCTCACCTCTGAAATTGGTCCCCTGTTGCAGAGGAGAGAGATACTTGTTTGTGACTCTAAGTCGGGGGCAGAAGCATGTCTCAGTGCTGTTGCTTAAATTGTAATTATTCTGTGGCTAGGACATCTTAAAAGAGAGAAGAGCAAAACTTGCAAATTTGATCTTCAAGATTACAATGGATTTGTCTACCTTGCAAGATACTGGATGGGATTTTGAAAATTGCCTAAGTGAGTTTAGCACATAACTTGCGTAGACACGTTTTTTAAAAAAATCCCACGCATCCACTATTAATAACAAGATGTCCACTCTCCAGCACTGGAAAACTCAGTTGTGGGAACAGTTGGTCTATAGGGATGTAAGTAAGCTTGCTTCACTGTTCTTTGAATTCCTAGATGGGCAAATCATAGAAAGATGCTGGAGCAGTCTTTGGGCTTGTCTACACAGGAAGTTATACCATTATAGGTATATGGCAATAACTCCCTGTATGGACACTTTTATTTTGGTATAAGCAACACAAGCTAAACCAGAAAAAGGCATTCTTATATTGGAGTAAGGGCATGTCTACACTTCCAACTTTGGCTGATGCAAGTTAAACATTGGCATAAAGCTGCTGCAGTTAGTATATTGCTTGTGCACATGAATACTTGGCTCTTTGCATCAGTGCTGCATGTGCTCACCATGAGTGCTTGTGTTGATGCACAATGCAGTGCGCCCTGCGTAGGTATCCCAGTGTGCAACTTGCCACTGTCCAGACGCTGTCTTTTGGGAAGGATTGGGAATGCATGGTGGGGCAGAAACAAGTCACATGGGCTGACAAGCAAAGGGTCCACTTTCTAGCATGCAACTTTCTCTGTCCCATAAAGCTATCTATATCCCATAATTTTTGCACCTTTTTAAAAAATCCCATGAACCTCTGCAGGACTTGTCGGACACCATCTCTGACAGATGCATGGAGCCTGCATAGCTCTGCGCTGTTGTCATAAGCATTGCAAGCACAGGATGCAAGATCCTCCGGTATTTGCAGAGCCTCAAAAATAACTGAATCAGTGGAGAACATGATGGTTTTGTGGAGGACAAATTGCTGCGGGACATATGAGAACTAATTCAAGGCTGTTGGTGGCATTCACAGAGCAGCTGCAGATGGTGGAGTGCTGTATCTGGGCCTGAGAACCGAGCAGTGTCTGGTGAGATCACACCGTAATACATGCTTGGGATGATGAGCAGTGGCTGCAGAATTTTGGGATGTGTAAGCCACATTCCTGGATATGTGTGCTGAGCTCAACCCAGTCCTCAAGCACAGGAACACCAGAATGAGAACTGCACTGTCAGTGGAAAAGCACGTGTTGATTGGACTGTGGAAGGCTGCAAACCTGGATTGCTACCAGTTAGTGAGAAATCATTTTGGAGTTGGAAAATCAATTGTGAGGGGTGTTGTCATGCAAGTAGGCAGGACCAGTAGTAATCTCCTGTTATGCAAGACTGTGACTCTCTGCAATGTGTAGGGCATAATGTGATGGATTGGCAGCAGTGCGGCCGTAAATAGCATACATATCCCTATTTTGGCACCAGATCACCTTGCCACTGAGTACATCAACAGAAAGGGCTACTTTTCTATGGTTATGTAAGCATTGGTGGATTGCTGGGGACGCTTCACCAATATCAGTGTTGGCTGGTCAGGGAAGGTGCTTGGCTCTCTCATCTTTAAGAACATGTTGAGAAATCTGTAAGCAGGGACTTTCTTTCCTGACTGGCATATTACCATTGGCAATGTTGAAATGCCAAAAGTGATCCTGGAGGACCCAGCCTACCCCTTGTTCGCTGGCTCCTGATGCCATACACCGACCACCTCAACAGCACCAAAGAGAGATTCAGCTACCAGTTCAGCAGGGGAAAAATGACGGTTGAATGTGCTTTTGGTAGATTGATGGGATTTCTGGCAAGTTTACTCGCCAGATTGGATATTTGGGCGGGAGACACATCCCAGTGGTTATAGCTGCCTGCTGTGTCCTGCATAATATCTGTGAAGCAAAGGAGGAAAAGATGCCACTGGGATAGAGGGCGGAGGTAGAGCAGCATCTGCTGAGTTTGAGCAACCAGCTGCAAGGGCTATTAGAAGAGCTCAACATGGAGCTATACAGCTCACAGATGCTTTGAAAGAGCTAACAGTGAGCCACAATAGTGCTCTACCATGACCTGCTGTTTTGGGTCCTGTTAGGAATTGTGTGGTGCTTGGTGTACATCTATGAATCTAACACTGACAGTGCACCTATTAATTTTGTGGTGCTTGCTATTCATTTATTATTATTACGTTGTGCTTTTTTTCATTGATCCTATGAGTTGCATCACATTGTACAATAATAAGTAAGGGCATGCTTTCAGTACTGCTAGGCACTCTGCAGCATATGTTCGGAACTAATAAAGATGAATTGTTTTCCAAGCAACAGCATTTTATTGAGTAATGAAAACACTGCAAAAAAATTCTGTGCAAGTTAAAAACTTAATACATTTTTGGAAGAGAGTTTAAGAAGGGGAAAGAACATTCACGGCCATTTTATCTACGCATAGAGCAGCTGTGGCTCTCTCAGGTCAGCAGAAGTGAAGCTGTAGTTGTCCTTAATGTCCACCGGTGAGGCGTGGTAGGGGAAGGGATGCAGCCTCTGATGTCGAGTGGGATGTTGAGTGGGATGTAGGGAAGTTCTCCATGGAGTTCTCCATGGACTACAAGAAGGTGAGCCCAGGATTGTTGAACCTGTAGACCCACAAGAGTCTGTGGCATGTGTGTTTCCTGCCGGAAAAGCCCCATTCTGTTCTGGTGCATCTCCCTCTCCTTTTTCTGCTGGGACTCTTGGGCCTTTCTCCTGTTCACTCTTTCCATCTCCAGGCTGTGTGAAATGTTCACCCTCCAGGCCCTCACTGCTCACGGTCTAATGCAGCTCTGGCTTGCAGGACCTCATTGAACCTGTCGTCTCAAGTCTTCATCTTTCTCCTCATCTGGCTCAGGCGTTCCATGGATGTGGGAGGGAACACTCTCAAGGCCACAACTACAGAAGCTACAGATAAAATACACAGAGGTATCACTGTTAATATAGTCATATCAGAAAACAAAAGTTAAGATTCAGAACTGTCCCTTACTCCCCATAAGTTTTAAACAAGACCCGCTTATTGACACTTCTGCTTCAGAGTGCTTGTGCACGGCACCACTCACCACATCAGCCATGATGAGTGTTCTGGCTAGGGATGAGGGAAATGAGCAGGGAATTACTTGGTTGCATGAAACGATGCATATAGGGCAAAGGCACTGAATACTGGCACCATTTTCCACAGGCGGTGGTAATTTTAGTGATACTCCTGAGAGTAACAAAGGTACAGAGAGCACAGCTGCTGCTGGATTCCGAAGCTGCCCGGGCCCATGTGCTAGTAGTCTGTTAACTTCAGCAAGCACCACTGCAGTAATAGTTACCTGGCATGAGAAAGTGTCCTACCATGGAGGAAGAAATAAACCTGCCATCCTTCAAAAACTTTGGGAGAGGATTGCAGAATACCTCTGTAAAAGTTTCATTGAGATCTTTCAGGAGGATTCAAGGGATATCCCTGTGCACATAAACGAAATGCTCCATATGACCTCCCCTGCCCAACTCTACAGGGGAATGAAAAGCAGTTAACAACTGTACCGCTCATTATCGTACCACTGTCTCTGTAGTATAAGTAAATTGATGAAAAGTCAATAGTTGTGTAGTGCTAAGTTGGGGGTGCCATCAGTACATCATTGTACTGGTAAATACATTTACACACTTACCCACGGTTATTTCCCCTGCATCAGGCTAGCCTGTGCTTGACTGACTGGATTGCAGTGGAGTCTCAAACAGGTCCTGGCTTCCTGGACTGCCTGGTCGCATGTCCCTCCTCCACCACCACACCCTCATCCTTGCTATTCAAGGCAGAGGCCTGTGACTTTGGCTCCTCGGCAGTGTCAGTGGTGGTCTTTGGGGTAGTGGTGTGTGTGTGTGTGTGTGTCTGTCTGTCTGTCTGAAGACAACTATGGCATACGGCTCTTTGTAAAAGCCCCACGTCTGCAGCTTGGCACCAGATTGACTGTTGGTCTCCCTGCCTTTCTGATGTGCTTGCTGCAGTTCCTTCACTTTCATGCAGCACTGCTGCTGATTCCTTTCATGCTTCTCCTACATCTCCTGTGCAATCTGCTCGTAGATGTCCACGTTTCCATGGCTGGTTCGTAGCTGTGCCTGCACAGCCTCTTCTCTCCACAGGCCTAGGAGATCCAATATTTCCTGTCTACTCTAGGCCAGAGCATCACAACAATGGAGAACTGCTAGTGGGTGCTCACCAAGATGAACGATCAGGAAAAGACATTTAAAAAATGTATGGGGTTTTAAAATGGGGGATGGGGCTTCCGGTCTGCATGACCCTCTGGCAGTGGATTCACAATTATGAACAGAGAGGTTAGTGTTGAAGGACTGCTGGAGGACTATTAGAGTTGACATAGGTAACACATTTTCTATACTCGCGCTGTGTTGACCTCTGTATAATCCTGGCTCGACACTGCTTTGGGAAGTGGTATTACTACGTTGCTGTAATGGGGCGCTTACATGGGTGGGAGACAAATTTAAGGTAGCCACACGCAAATTACATTGATGCAAGGCGGCTAACGTTGACCTAACTTTGTAGTGTAGACCAAGCCTAAGAGTGTCCACACAGGTCATTAGATTGGTATAATTACAGCACTTTAAATTCATACCATGCGGGTATAACTTAGTGTAGACAAGCCCTTAGATTCCAGGAAATTGGTCGCTGTTAGGGAATGCTCAAGAGTTAAGTGAGGGAAAAATGGTGGCCATGAATTTGGGTTTGATGATGAATCTGCCAGGGAAAAGATCTAGGCTTTTAATACTTCAACAAATTCAAATAAAATAATTCTAGCTTGGTAAACCTGTTGTGTCCAGCATCTTCAACGTAATCACCAAACTGATTATTTCAAAAGGTTCCAGCTCAATCAGTGTTTTGAGACAGATTCCACTCTGCTACATTCTCACCACTATGGTGGTGCAAAGGGAACAGAAACACCTATGATTCCTTCTGCATGGGAGGAGTCTCCATTGGGTGTAGTGTCAGTGTATTTGGTTTCTGCACCTCCTTCCCCAACTCTTGGCATAGGGGTGGTTCAAGTGGGGAGATGGAGTAGTTGGTGTGGAAACCAACTGGTTGTCCCCAGGTAGCATATGGTCTCTTAGGTAATGTAACCAGCTTGTGGAAGTTACCCAGCCTTGGAGCGGAGAATCAAGGAGCTGTATATGGTTCAAAAGTCTCAACTTCTCTCTTAGCTGAGGCATGTTTCTGCTTTTCAGCTCTATCTGTGTCTCCCACAGCCCAGCGTTGGGAGGCAAGCAATGAAGTAGCCAGGACTGCTTAGAGGAGCTGCTAGGTAGCTGTAAATGGGGAGGAACACTCCAGGCTCACACCAGAGCTACACCACCGGCTGCAGGGGAGCTGGTAGGGCAGCTGGAATGGCAGTGATCCTATCTCCTCTGTGTAATGGCAGCTTATTCAATCACTTCAGTTTAAACTTGCAGGATGCAGCCCAGGGAGCACATTTTCAGTTCATAATCAAATGCAGATTTTCTGTTTAACACACAAGTGGGCCACAGGTTGGATACCCTGATGTAAACCAACCCAAAATAATCCTTCAGTAGAATTTTATCAACAGGAAAAATAAAAAATTCAGAGTATACCCTGTTTTTTAGGGCTGCAATTAATTGTTTTGACCTCAGTAGGCTGAAAGTTTTGTCAGGCCCTGTTCCTTTTTTTCTCCCTCAAATATTATAAAATGTTCTGTACCTGTGGTGCTTTATTAGCAAGTAATTCTGTGTGAGGGGTTTAAAAGCAATAATTTCCTGACTGATATATTTTCAGGCTCTCCCTGCCAGCTTTTAAGTTTATCAGATTTAGCATTATGACTATTTCTGATTTTTAGCAGAACAGATCCCACTCCTACCTGTAGACATTCCTTGTTATGCTCATGCCTATAGCTTTACAGTAGTTCATAGAATACTTTAAGTGGTACCTTTATTAATAAATTTATAATTTAAGTATCTGACATATAAAGACAAACATGCTGTTTGTTTTAAAATGAAAACTGTTGCAATGAAAGGGACCTTTGTTCCACAAATGCACGAATGGGTTTGCATGGTTAACTTCTACCTATGTTAATGTGTGTCACCCATGTGCATTGTGTTGCCCCTTTCCACTAATGAGGAAAGTGATGTTGCCTTTGCAGGCACTATATACAATGTTAGGAAAAGTTTTCTTTTATTGACATCTTTAACCCAATGTCTTCCTTCTCCCCAGTCTTGCAATTGTCACTTCAATTAATGAATGTGATATTATGTATGGAATAAGCAGCACACTGGTCCAAGGTCTGGTCCTTTGTTATATTCAGTACTGGATTATTGCCAAAAACCGCTGACTAATGAGTAGTAATTTTGAAGTTTGGTATCTCTCAAATCATCACAAATTACTTCCTTCTAACCTTTTGAAAAAATGGGATCCTCTTTTTACCACTAGCATAAAATAATAATTTCTAGCCCTAGATGGTCACAAGGTATCAGACCTTAAAATTATATAATGTTAGTTACTTTAACCTCTCTTTAGTGCCCCCCCACCCTACTTTGTTACCAGCATAATTTTAATTGTCACTATTACAAGAACTATAGCGCCTAAGAACCAGTGTTCATGCCACCTGAAAGGTTGGAATCCAAGCTTTCAACAGTGTGAAGAATGAATCTCTTAACTCTAGCTGTACTTTCTTCCCTCCCCCCCCCAATTTAGTATCTGGATAGGAATATGAAAAGCACTGTGGGCTAGATTCACAAAAGGACTTAAGCGTTATGTTGCTCAGTGTCTCAGAGCCTAGTTTTGAAGCACCTACTTCCTCCTCCCCAGTAGGATCTAAAACCCCTGAGTTAAGTGCGTAGGTTCCTTCTACAATGAATGGAGAGGGGAGAGGCGCCTGAGAATTGGAAAAACCAGCGAGTTGAGTGGAGCTGCCTAACCTATCCAATAGCAGATGCCAAGGAGAGGGGTGGGTCCTAAGCCCTGCCTCTTTCAGGATGTTCCTGCCAAAGTGCAGGCTGATGGGAGGCAGAGGTGCCTGTCTCCACTTGGGATTCACAGCTATGGGTGGGTGGGAGAGGAAAAGTTGGAGGAAAAGTTGCCCTGTTGTTAAGGTAATCTCCTGGGATGTGGGAGACTCCTTTGCCTTCTGAGGAGAAGGGATTTGAATGTGGGTCTCCCATCCCTCAAGTGAGTGCCTTAACTATTGGACTATAGAGTCATTCTAATTCTCTTTCTCTGTCCCAATGCATATTTAATTTTTTAAGTCTATAATACACAATGGAATAGCTTCAACTGGAGAGACTGAGACCCATGCCTGAATATCTCATAGTCCCTTTGTGAATTTAGCCCTACCATTTAAAACAAAACAAACAAACAAAAACCAATTCAATAAAGACACAGTTGTTACAATCGTGTTTTAGGATGGCTTGCAGCTATTGTTTGGTCTTGGTACAAAAGTTATACAAATTGATATGCTCTCAGTCCTGGCAAGTTGCCATTTTTACCCATCCCACTGTGGGAAAATGTGGGCATCTTTGCTTTAGGGTTTAAGCGCCAGGCAAACTGGAAGTATGCAAGGGATCATCATAAGTCTCTCAACATTTAATGCAAACAATTTTTAAATGTAAATGTGTATTATTTTGAACTCCCTTAATCTTTTTTAATCTATCTTGTTTGCAGGGCTATCATCATATCTGGAGGACCAAACTCTGTGTATGCGGAAGATGCACCTTGGTTTGACCCAGCAATATTTACAATCGGCAAACCAGTTCTTGGAATCTGCTATGGCATGCAGGTGCTAATCATGGATCGGTTTGTCTACAAATATTGTTTTAGGTCCAGGTCTTAGTTCTGACATTCAGCTAAGATTTAACTACTAGAAGAACTTTTTCATATATAGCTTAACTATAATTAACGGGATAAATAAACCTTGCATGCAGAATTTCATTTTAGAAAAAGTGTGAATGATGGTAGTTTTGAACATACTGAGTATACTATATACAAACTCTTCTCTGGGCTCTGCCATGAAAATAGCATAGGAAATACTTATGTTCTCCCTCTTTAACTATGCTGACTTTTTATTAAAAACATGATAAATGTATAGTAGAATCCAAAATTGCATAGCCATTAACTTGTTTAGTTTAGCTGGTATTGAGGAATGCACCTCTCCTATAAACAATTGGAGTAGTTTGATCATTTAAATAGCTCATCTCTTTGTTTTTGCATGTAGAACACTCCTTAGGATAGTTTTCAGGAGCTACTCTACTGATGGAAAAATATATAAACTGATTTCATGTTTGTTTGAAACTAGAAATTGGGTTAGTTGATACTGTAGTGGAAACAATGTCTAATCTTAAAATAATTACCAATATGCTTAGTCACTAATACTGCCAAATCAAGTGTGTTCTTTAAAATGGTTGATTACAGTTCTCACTGATTCTCAGAAAAAGCAATTAGCAAGAACAGGAAAAAAAGAATACCATGAAATAGAAAATATACACTACAGAATATTTCTTCTTTAAGGCTGTTGTAACATTTCAGATCAGAAAGAACAGAAGTTCTGTATTTTATGTTTTTTATTCAAAAATAAACCTTTGCATTTAGGCATTCAGTGTTGATCCTCCTCCCCACCCCCCCAACTACATTATAATTCACCTGTAATATGCATCCATTCTTTTATAGTTTCAGCTATTTATCACATGCCTTATATTTTAGGCTTGGAAGGATTAGATTTTTATTGATAAGTGTCGATTTCACCATACACAAATTGACAAACAAAATTTCCATCCATGATGAATCAAAATTTACAGCTAGGCAAAATAAGAGAAATGCTGTTTGAGAACTTATTAGAGTTCACTGGTAGAGATGTCGGAGCAGGAGGGCCATGTAGGTAGCTTTAACTTTTTAAATCTCACTGTCTACCGTCATTAGATAATTATTGTCTGACTGCTAAACCCCTGCCATTTTGTCCTGCAATTGTGAAAATTAAATGGATACAAATCTAAAAAATGCTTAAAACTAAATATCAATATTATCTGTTGAAATAAAAATATATATATTTTGCCAAGCCTACTTATGTTCTTCTTACAGCCAGAATAGTTGTTTAAACGTTAAGTACCAGAAAGGTCTTACATTTATGTATGGCTCCTTGCTTTCAGAATTATTGGGACATAGGATGCATAACTTTTGTTTGATCTCTTTTATGGTACACAAATGGCCAACTAGCCAATCAACGGAAGTGATATAGGCTGTATTATGATTTCATTTCAAGAAGTTAGGTGAGGAAGAAGCATAAATACATAGAAAGTATGTTCAGAAATAAGTATTTATGTAGACATGATTATCCACAGGTCTGGATTGAGACGAAGTTACAATCTGCCATCATACATGCACATCTTCCATTGTTGTAAAAGAGAGCTAGGTGCATGTTTCTGCAGTCAGAATTTAGCATACTAATGCATACAGAGTGCATACTAATGGAACTCCTGTTAGTTATGAAATGATGTATGAATTGCCTCTAGTATATGTGAGAATAGGCTGCTTGATTCTCTTCCGACCAAGAGAATCCTACAGTGCAAAGAGAAGCCATATTGATTGGTTTGAAAAAATAAAACGGGAAATAGAAGAATTGGTAGAATCCAAAGCCTGCCACTAAAGTTCTTGACTTAATAGCATTAATGGTGGGCTACCTAGTCAATTTATAATAGGAGTGGTTCCAAGCTATGCTGACAGGAGGCCAGCAGAAGTGGAGACTGATCACTGAATAGTGAGAAATAATGAAGATTCTGACTGTTTAGTAGTAACATTCTATATCTAGTATAAGAGTGACCTTGTCTGCAGGAGGTTTCGGTGACTAACAGTTCGTTGTCATGTCCAGCAGGTTAAAGTTATAGGAAGAGCAAGGTAAATATATTAAATGGAAATTATGTTGGACTGTTGGAACTTATACTGTAAGGTAATTAACAATGTTTCTGATTTGACAGATGATGAATAAGGTATTTGGAGGTACAGTGCACAAAAAAGATGTTAGAGAAGATGGAGTTTTCAACATTACTCTGGATAACACATGCTCACTGTTCAGGTATGCAGGCTCTTCTAGCCACAAAAATGGTAGAGGAAATGCCATTCTAGAAATGAAAGCTAGTGACAGTATAGACACAGGCTAGATTTATGAGGTAGAAAATGGAGTTTCATCCATGCTTGTGTGAAATTGCCCACCATTTGCTTATATAGCTATTGCAACTGTGTGTGTTAATTAGGCAGTTGCACATACAAATATTGAGGCAGTTAATGGCCCAATTAAGCATACATATTAGTATGCATGTTTGTTTGCAGAACTCCAGTCTCTGTCTTTTTAAAGCAAGCAAACCCCTATGTTGTCTTCTTTTTAAAAAGAATAATCACCCTATACTTTACATTTGCTGAAAAGGTAAGGGATTTTTGGCTATATTCTTCACCCTTGGATCTTTTATGCATGTTACTTGGGAGTACTCTGTATCGTTATATTCTAAAACATTTTTTAAATGTTTAACTTAAACAAGGAGTGCTTTATTGGTGTGGCACCATAAAGGGTGCCAGGGACCACAGCCTGGGAATTTTTGCATTAAGGCAAGTTCTACAGCTGTTGAAGCATTGTGTTGTATAGTAGGTCACTTTGGTATTAGCTAGCATCCATAGGTATCCAAGTTCCTGAAAGATATGGAAAAACTGAAACAATTAATGAGGTCTTCTGTCCCTTTAAACTTGGGTCTTAGTATTCTATAAAAGCAAATTTGATTCTCAGTATTGCCACAGCACCTCTCTTTCAGCCCCTTGTAAGAATCCAGTCAATTTACTGTACCACAAGGTCCTAATTCTTGTGACTGTTTCTTCCAGAAGTGTCATGGAGCTTCACACCCTATCCTGTAAAGTTTAAGGCCCATCAGGACAAGCTTGTCCTTATGACCTTTCCTAAATTCAGGCTTAAGGAAGCTTTGTTAATTTTGTTTTGTTTTGTTTAAAGCACTGCTCATTTCCCTCCCACCCCCATAATCCACAGAAGTCCGAGTATAATACAGGCTTGGCTGTCAAAAGAACCCTCTGAATTTGTCTTGAGCGGAGTTCAGAGCTTCAGAGAGGTTATTGTGGCTTGCATGGAGCGCACCTACTATAAGAAAAGTGAAGCAGCTTCCAGAGAGAAAATGTAACAGCTGAGGAGCTGATTAGTAAAACTTCAGTGCTGGAAAGAATGTCCCACATGTATTTAAAACGTGTACTTGACAGGTGGTGTCTTAGTGGGAAGAGACCCTTGAGAGGGTCTGATAGAAATCTATTAAGTGGCCAACTGTGTATCAGTGCACACCTTCCTGAAGAACTAGGTATGTTGTCCATGCATCACTGGATACAGCCTTTGGTGGAAGGATATTGTAGATGGCTGTAATTGCACCCAAAAGTTGGATTTCTTGTACTGATGTGGGAAGGTCCCAAGTGTTCAGAGTGGCATATAAGATCAAAGAGAGAAGGGGAAACTTTCTTTAGCTGTAAATTACCTTTCCTTGAGATTTTCTATACCAGTACATACTGCTTCCCTTGGATGACTCGTATAAAATTTTATCTTAGTTTTTTACTTATTTTTGGCTAATGCTACTTCTGAAGTTTCAGTGAAATCCTATGAACTAGCAAGTTCTTTATACGTACATGTCATCTAAAGACTTGATAGCGGTTATTTTCTCTCTGGCTGGGAGAAGTTATATGAGACTGAGAAAAGGTTGAGATTGAGAGGGAAGGTGGTCTCCAAGATGTTTTGTTAATTGATCTATGCTTTGAAAAGGTAGAGAACCTGTGCCCTAGAACATTAGTCAATCTGAACTAAAATGTCTGTCAGCAAAAAGTAAAAATCGAAATATGAAGTTGTATCAGAAAATCTGTGGTGTGCTTAAATTTTTAATATTTCACAATTAACTATACAAATAAAATTAGATGTTCTTGTTTGTACTTTCACTAATTCTGTTTTTATCCTGTGTTTAGGGGCCTTCAGAAGGAGGAGTTTGTGCTCCTCACTCATGGAGATAGTGTAGATAAAGTAGCTGATGGGTTCAAAATTGTTGCACAATCTGGGAACATTATAGCAGGTATGTATTCTGTACAATTATGACTTGTCTCTTGAGCCTTTTTTTTAAAAGGGAAGTTATCTGCTGAATTGTGGCACAGAATTTAGGCGTAGTAAAAATAAGCTTTATGAAACTCAAGATTACATTTCTCTGTAGTGTTTTAACCCAAACATTGCTAGTAAAGAAAAAAACTGATGCAGAAATGACTAGTTTTGTTTTAAATGTTCAAGTTGAGAAATGTTAGAAAAGGCATCAGAGAAAAGGAACTTGATTTCAAGAATTCTTTAGTTTAGATTATCTAATGGGTTTAATTAGTTCACTCTCTATTTACTATTGTCATTTTAACTTTTTTTAACAGAGTAAAAAGAATTGCAGTATTAAAAGAAATCTTTCAAATCTCTTCCATAGAAGGTCACAGGGGAAATGTGTAGATGTGGGCCCTGAGAGTTGACTCAGAAAATGTACTTAAATTATTAAGCCAACTTGCAACTCACTGAATCAAACCACCTTTTCTGCAGCCAGCAGATTATAGGTTAGTCTTATGTTTACTGAGCCACTTTGTGAAATCTTAAACCATTCATGTGGCTCTTATTTTAAATCCTTGAGGAAAGGTCCAGGATAGAAACTGCTGAATTGTTGGAAGACCAGCGTTCTGTAAGCTGGTCTCCATTAACCACAGGTCAGGCACAGTGCTATATTTGATCTGTAGCAAATATGCAGTACTGTCACCTGCGGGATGTGTAGGTAAATATAGTTTGAATAGCGAACTTACTGTAGCTAGTAGTCAAGATTACTTTTTTTAAAGTCCTTATTTAGCTTTTAAATAAAATTACAATTATGTAACTACTAAAGAGGAAACTGGCAAGCGTTATAGATTCTCATTATAAGAAACCCCCCAAATTTTTCAAATCCTTTACAACATTGTGTGGGCAAAGAAGAAAAACTAGAACTTTCAAGCACATCCAAAAGTTCTTGTATAATGGCGTGGCCCTTGCCTAATCATAGTTGAGGTTAAGCAAAGTTTTCGGTTTAGAGACAGTTTTCAAAGTGCTGTAAAATCCATATACTGTATGGAAGTGCTTATACTGGTATTGCTTATTCCCAGACAGGAAGGAGAATAAACCATACCATTGTAAGGCTTTTTTTTTTAAACTGGTATAACTGCATCAACAATAGAATTTGGTACCAATATAACTATTTGCTCAGAGTATACATTTTAGAATAGTAATACCGGTACAACTTTTAATTGTAGATGAGGCCTGTAATTTCTTTGAGGGTATGGGGTGGAAAGCATGACATTAACTACATTTCCTGGTTTTCTAATATTTGTATTGCGTGGTTGAATATTTCTCCTGGTTCTCCAAGGTACCTGATTTTTGACTGCTAACTTCCATGTTTTGGAAGGGAACAAAGTACTGCTAAACAGTCTGAACTGTGCTTTAATGAAGTTTTTGTTGTTGTTAGTGAATACACCAAATGCAAGAGTAACACAAAAATCAGATCACTTTCGAATGTCACCTATTCATAGTCATGCAATAAAGAATTTTCCAAAATATTATCTACATAGTACATGTTATCTTAATTTAGATGAGCTTCCTTTCAGCCTAATTGTATTAACAGCAAGACTGGTATTGTCTTAAGTGTGTGTGTGTGTGTGTGTGTGGGTTAGGTGTTTTTGTTTATAAGCTTTAGTTTTATTGCCACCTTCTAAGCCGGAAAACCTGATGACAGGAATTCAGGATGTAGTGTCACCAATTTTCTTCTGTGATCCTGAGTAGTTCTGCTAATATCAGAACAAATAAAGATCTTTTCATCTATAAATTGTGTTGTATCCATCATTTTCCAAACTGTAATCAAAATACATTCCCAGTTCCATGGTGATGACAGATTCACTAAGGCCCCATCCTGCAAACACCTATATGCAAACCTTTATCCATGTACATACTTTCAGTGGAGTGAATCCATGCATAACTGTTTGCAGGATCAGGGCCTAAAAATGTATGAGTTGAGATGGATTCATAGTTATTAAAAAATAAAAAAAAACCACCAGAAGGCACCACTATTATTTCTAGTCTAGCCTCCTTATAACACTTATGAAGTAGGCAATTTAAATGGGGGAGATTTGAGAGGTATATGGAATTTTTTTACAATATGTAATTAGGGTCAAATTTGGAAATGGAATTCTGCAAACACAAAATTATTTCAGATAATTCCCTTCCTTCAAAAGAGTGTAGAAAACCTAATATTCTTATGAGTTGATTTTATAAAGTTTTCAATAAACTAAATTTTCCAATCCAGAAAAGCTCTTTTTTAAAGGGAAAAAAAAACCCTCTAGAGATTTTTTTGCATCTGTGCTTCATTAATCTTTTCACCTAGATTTTTCATTTTTTTCTCAACAAATAGGGTTCTTTATAATAATTAATGGAGATATCCCATCTCCTAGAACTGGAAGGGACCTTGAAAGGTCATCGAGTCCAGCCCCCTGCCTTCAGTAGTAGGACCAAGTACTGATTTTGCCCCAGATCCCCAAGTGGCCCCCTCAAGGATTGAACTCACAACCCTGGGTTTAGCAGGCCAATGTTCAAACCACTGAGCTATCCTTTCCCCCAGATATACTTCTGCTGAAGACAGATACAACTTTGATTCAAACACATAAAACTTTATACTGTAGGGGTTGAATAGCTGCTAGTATGGCTTCTGGTGAAACTTTGGAAATGATCCTTGTTTCAATTTGTTTAGGGGTATGTTTCTCATAAGGTAATTAGACTAGAAGTCTGGTTGGGCCTAATTTTTAGGCTGGACCTGAACCAGACCCAACCCCACTCCACCTGAGCCTGAGATCATAGAGTCGAGTTTTGACATGATTGCCTACTGCCCATGTGTTCTGCTCTTTTTCTGCCTGGGGTTGGCAAAGTGCTGGCTGTGTATACCTGCAGCAGCTGCATGCACTGGCAGCACACTCAGCCCGCAGTGCACACAGCACAGTGAGGTGACAATGGTCAGCAGGAGCAAGGCATGCTGTGGCCACCCAGCTGATCCCCACAGGCAGGAAGAGAGCCAGCTCGACCCAAGCCCAACAGAGTCCAATTGTTTTGCAATCTAGATCTGACACTTTTAGTCGGGTCCTGTTGACTTCAGAGCAGGTTGCAGGACTCTAAATTGTACTGCTTCAAAAGCAGTAATGGCTAGTAGAGATGGAAAGAGAAAGTCTGTTCTTCTTCAAGTAGATGTGGCCATGTGTTCCATGTAGGTTTGTGTGCCCTGGAGCTGGAGAACTTTGCCTAATAGTACCCATAGGAGTGGCGTTCATGCCCTGTGGCCATAGCACATCCCTCCTCACCTCCAGTCGTATAAGGGTGGCGCCGCTCTGAACCCCCACAGTTCCTTCGCACTGCCTGTGACTAGAGCTGGAGCTTTGTGTGGTGTCCTCATCTCATACTTCTGCTCTGTTTTCTGAGAACTTTTCTATATATAAAATCAGTAGTACCTTAGGTTTAGTTTGTGTTAGTTTAGTGTTAGTAGAGTAGTTGGCTGCCCTGTGTGATGATCTCACCAGGGTTCAAGCATTGTCTGTCGTGTAGGGGTGGTCATCTGCAACAGCACCCCCCAAAGGAGGTGCTTGTTGTATCTTATTAGTGAGGGACACATTAGGTTTTCCATCTGCAAGTAGTTCACCAAGAAGACTCAGGTGATGAGAGACTTGCAGCTGAAGCAGCACCTTCTGGAGCAGGCCATGAGGCCCGCTTCGGCACAGAGGCCCTCATCTAAACAGCAGGCGCCTTCAGATCTGGCAAGTGATGCTACCCCATGCTTACGCTTGGATGTTTTCCCCCAAGAGAAAAAGGGTCATTTACCCCCCTGTGGTGTGGTGAGGAAGAGGTCCCGTAAAACAAGTCGGGATCATTCCAGGATTCAGGGAGACTCCGGCTTCTCCTCTTCTAGGAGGAGTGCTGTCCAGCACCTTACTTCCTTCAGCACACAGAATGGAGCAGGTCCATCCAACCACTCCCCAGTACCATACCAAGAGCAGCAAGGGCCCATATGGTGAACTCAGGTTCTGGCCATGGGGTGTCCTTTGAGTCCAGTACCAACAACATTGCACCAGTGCCAACTCTTTCCATGCTGACAGCATACCAGGTGGTATCAGACATGCTTTGCCTCTCAATCCCGGACTCTCTGGTGGTTCAGGAGTTCTCCGGTGCTTTGGTTTCTAGCAGCTTGTCCTGTGTTGTGCCCTTGGCACCTTCTGTCCATGTTGCAGAGCCATCATGTCTGTCGGCATCACAGCTCTTACCACCTGGGCAGCTGACTATCAAGTAGAGGCCAGGCCTGGCACCGAAGACACCCTCGATGCCGGTACATCCTTCAGTGCCGTCTTTATCTTGGAAGCAGATCCCATCATCAAGTCCATTCCCGGCCTTGGTGTTGATGCCTCTCCGGGTACTAGGGGGGAGTGTGTCTCATTCAGTGCCACTGTTGCCGATTCCCCACTCTTCTTTGGCACTGGTGCCACCTCCTTACTGGGCTTCAGATGAATCCGATCAGTTGTTTACCCCATCGGGACTGGGTCCCACGTTGTTATCACAGAACCTCTAGGATTACTCAAGATCCAGGTTGGGGTTGTCCTCCCCTTCCTTGTCAGATAGGAACTAAAGGTTACCTTTAGATCACTATTGGTACCAAGCTAGGCATCTGTCCTGCAATCGGGATGGGCTTTTGGCCCGGTGCCTATGATCACCAATGCATTATCCGTATGCCCTGTGGCCTCCTTGGAATCCCTGGGACACTCCTTGATCCCTGAGGTCCCAATCCTCAACCTGCTCCATAGCAAGATCACTGGTCCCAATGGTGGCTTCCACTCCCATACCATCTAAACTGTGAACGACCACTGAGTTCATTCCCGCTGGATCTGCTGGGCTCTTCTGACCAGATTCTGTGGTACAAGAACAGGTGTTGTCATTGGTGCAGCAGACCGTCTCGTTGTCCTCCCTGGATGACTACCATGTCAGAATCTTCCTCTCCCTTGGTGCCCGAGGACTTTAAGGCATACCAGGACCTCCTGATGCTAATGGTCACTACCGTGGGTATCCTGGCAGACCTGCTGCAGGAGAATATGTCTAAGCTGCTGGATATTCTCCAACCATCAACTCCAGGAAGAGTAGCCCTCCCGATAAATGAGGCTCTCCCGGAGCCTGCAATGGCCCTCTGAATTATCCCAGTTTTGTTGCCCCCTACAGCCAAACATTTGGAGAAATGGTATTTCGTTCCTACACAACGGTTTGAGAGTTTCTACTCCCACCCAGCATCTAACTGCCAGGTGGTGACTGCAGCAAATGACAGAGCTTAGCGGGGAAGGTATAAGTCCACCCCTAAGGACAAAGAGTCCAAAAAGATGGATGTAATGGGAAGGAAGAGTTTATACCTCCTCTTCCCTGCAAATGCACATCAAGAACCGGCAGGCACTGTTCTCTAAATATGACTGTCAGTTGGGCCGCCATATCTAAGTTCGTGGACAAGCTGCTGGAATCCTCCAGGGAAGAATTTTTGGCATTCATTGCAGAAGGCCATATGGTAGCCAAGACCTTGTTGCAGTCAACTCTGGACATGGCAGATGCTGCAGCCAGAACCATGGCCTCAGTGGTGACCATGAGGAAGGCCTCATGGCAATGGAATTTAGGCATAGTGTCTGATATGCTGCATACCATTGAGGACTTACCATTTGGTGTTTGGGTTTTATTTTCTGAAAAGACTGACAAACCTTGCACTCTTTTAAATGCTCCCAAGCTACTTTGCATGCTTTGGGAGTATATACTCCAGCCATGAAGAGATGCCACTATGGCAATCAGTAGCCTCAACAGCAATGCTGCTCTCACAGCATTGCTTTTTTTTGGTTTGGTTGGGTTTTTGGCCAATCCTCCCTCCCCT